TGGGATCAGCTCTTCCCCTTGATATTATCTATTGGAATGCAAACATCAGCCTAACAAAAAATCACGACCACTCTCTGTTTCTATACAGTCATTTCACAGGATCTTCTGTTACAAAGATGATTTGGAGGGACTTTTCTGTGTTCTAATAACAGATATGTCAATAAAGCAACTGGCATTCTGCTTAATGAATACTAAATAGGTGAGCTTTCACACATCTATAAACCGGAGATTCTACCTAAGCACTGTAAGACTGAGTGGTCCTTACCTGGTTTGGAAAGTCAGCCTTCAGTTCAGCAATACTTTTACACCAATATGCTGCTGTTTTCTCGCTGATCAGCTCAATGTTTAGGAAAGAGCTTTGGCCTGGGCCGTACATAGGACCTGAAGTAATTCCACGCACAATCCTCGGAGAAACGTTAGTCACAATGTCCTGCAAAACAGTGGAACCTTTCAGATTGATTTTGGAAAGTGAGGTAGAGATCATACAATCATAGACTGGTTTGGGTTGGAAAGGACCTTAAGATCATCTAGTTCCACCCCCCCTGCCATGAGCAGGGACACCTCACACTAAACTATGTCGCTCAAGACTCTGTCTAGGACATAAGATGAATGTAAACATACTAGGTGTTTCAAAACATCTACTGTTATCACATCAGTATTTGTAGCGACAGGACAAGGGGTGATGGGTTCAAACTGGGACAGGGGAAGTTCAGGTTAGATCTAAGGCAGAAGCTCTTCCCTGGGAGGGTGCTGAGGCGCTGGCACAGGGTGCCCAGAGAAGCTGTGGCTGCCCCATCCCTGGCAGTGTTCAAGGCCAGGTTGGACACAGGGGCTTGGAGCAACCTGCTCTAGTGTGAGGTGTCCCTGCTCTTGGCAGGAGGTTGGAACTGGATGATCTTAAGGTCCTTTCTAACCCAAACCAGGCTGGGATTCTATGTTTGACACACTTTTGGGGGTGAACCTATGAACCTGACTTAACAGCAGAGAAGCTGGTGGGCAACACCTCTTTGCACTTGTGTAGGACACTGCCAGGGATGGGGCAGCCACAGCTTCTCTGGGCACCCTGTGCCAGCGCCTCAGCACCCTCCCAGGGAAGAGCTTCTGCCTTAGATCCAACCTGAACTTCCCCTGTTTAAGCTTTAACCCATCACGCCGTGTCCTATCGCTCCAGTCCCTGACGCAGGGTACCTCTCCAGCATCCTTGTAGCCCCCTTCATCACAAATGAAAGCATATGATTAAGAGAGCTCAAAATACAACCCCCCACATTATGGCCATTCAGATCAATATTGCAAAGCACAGCATTCCCAAAGGTCAACACGAGGGTAGCACCCATTTGGAAGCATACAGTACATACTCAGAATGTTGACTTGTTTCATAGCCTTAATGAAGCTGCAATGTCACCGTATCTATAGCACCACAGAACCGTACATTCTGACACTGCTTAAAACAAGAGCGGAACATCGATGGCAAAATGTTCCTTTTGCCAATTTCCAATTAGGAATCATTTTGAGTAAAGGTCATTTATTTCCCAATGTATCAGAATGATTTGTTTAAGTACCCCTCCTCGCCATCTTGTCATTTCTAGTGAGATAACATGAACCTCCATTAGTATATAGCAATTAAGGTCAATTTACATATTTTAATTAAGAACCATCCCATATAAAACAATTAGGGTAATAGGCACACTAACTGGATTTCATAACATTTGGACGTTTTTCCAACTAGATAGACAGGAAACCTTAATTAGCATTAATTAGCACTGATCTGCATATGTTTGATAAGGCATACCCTTGCCACAAAAGATTATTTATTCCTGAATCTGCCAAACGCTGCAGTTACAGAGGATAAAGGGACTTTTCTTCACATTGTATGTAAATTTGAGGCAATCTTCATTTGCTTATAAAGTTGAGTTAATCATTATACAGTAAATATGCACTAATATTTTATACTTGTAGATAATTACATGTCCATTTACATATGTAGGAATCACACAAAGTAATCTCCCCAGTTCATCTCTTTTCAGGCCTCATAAGTCTGGAACATGGACATGACAATAATCCCTAATTTTCCCATTATATTTTCCCTTCATCACAATAGCTTCAGCTGGCTCTCAACAGATGAGTTCTATTTGTCAGGAAGAAACAACTCAGAACACGTTCTGAATGTGTGCAAACCAAGAAGACAAGTACACTGCCCTCGCTCCCCAGACAAACCACAGAGATGGTTCTTTATGCAGAAGAACCATTTCCATCAGTTTACTCCACGTTATCCTCTTGAGTGTTTCCTTCCTTTTAAATGGCTTCAGGGGAGCTTGTGCTTTGACTTGATCCCAGAAAGCTTTTCAGACTTACAGCCAGTGCTATCACACCATCCAGCATGAGAAAAAACAGCCAATGGCTTAAACGCTGGCACACAGACCTTACTCCTGCAAGCACAGGGTGCACGTGGTCATACGCCAACAGACACGAGCTACTCTGACCATGCTACAAGAGGCCATGAGCTCCCTTTTACCACTCGAAACAGTCAGAAGCTATGCAGCTCCAGCAGTATGGCACCAAGCCTCAGCTCACAGCCTGGCTGTTGCTGGGAACTATTATTCTTGGGTTCAGTGGAAGTTGTGGTAAGATGCATGCGGCATCATTTCCATTTCGTGGCTGGCTTGTGCATGTGTGTGTGTGCCAGGCAATGCCTGGAGCCACCTAGGGTGCTGTGCGGTACCTCACTACGCGCGTGTTTCGTTCTTCTTCCAGTCGCTCTCATTTTACTAGAGGCAAGAATTCACAGACTGAGATATCACAGCCTGGATCATACGTCGGCTGGGACACTCACAAAGCCTCACTCTGCTTCTGTGCACCGCCTGCCTTGGGGCTCCAGACAATCTGCTCTCTTCTAAGCACAGAGACCTCTGTTTAGACCCTGCGCCTGCTGCCGCATCCTCATGGCTTTGACTCCCTCTTTCCCAGAGCTCAGTCATAGCCAACACCTGAGTGACAATTTATCCCGCAAAGCTGCATCAGGAAGTGCACAGACTTTGCAAACTGTCCCAAAAGCAGCCACTCTTCCCTTTAGTGACCACGAGAGACACCCAGAGCCACACGACACAGTAAACACACATACATCTCTCTTCCTACACCTCCCCACTCTTGAATTTTCCTTGAGGTTTTGTGAGATTCCCTTTGGTGCTCAGGGACCTCCCGTACCAGCAGACAGCTGCTCCTTCAAATGGCAGCTTCCACTGCCTGTGTGTCCCAGGAACCCTCCACTGTGTCCATGCATCACTTTATGTTTCCAGACCAAGCTGCTTCTGCTTCCAAAAATCCTTCCTGGCTTTGAAATCCAAATATTACCACCTGGCTGCTTTGTCTTGATTCCTCCCAGGAGGGATCTGCTGTCCTTATTGAAGATCCCGCTCCTCGTTTGCCTCTCCTAGCTCAGCATAAACTAGATGGAGAGAGTCTGTAATGACTGACACGCCGGCACCTCTCCTGTCTCGTTAGCACACGACAGCCCCAGACACAAGGAGGTTTGCAGTTCATGGAAGCACAATGGATTTTGTAACTTAGGTGATGATTCAAGGAATCTGCCTCTGTACGTGCAGAATAGAATCACACAAGAGACAGAAAACTGTCTCTATGAGATGAGTGTGAAATACCTACACAGAGCTTGCCTCTCCACCACCTTCCGTTCCTGTTTCCTGCCACAGCTACAAAACAGGGAGAGAGTTAGGCAAAGGATCTCTGGACTGGGCTTAGCCCTTCAGTCTTACGAGGGAATTTCCCTTGCTCTAAGACGGGAAGTTCTCGGGGCTGGCCAGTAGCTACCACTGTCTTCAAAACAGCAGGTAAGTCCAGAGCAGCATTGGGTTGGTCTAGATGACCTTTGAAGATCCCTTCCAATCCAAACCATTCCATGATTAAATAGCCGTAGTGCTCCAGCCCATGGGGTTTGTGACAAACCATCTCCTGGTGGTGTAATAGAGCACTGATTTTCCCTGTTTGTAGGAACTGTGTGGCCAAATACTGGCGCTGATCCCTTTTCTTTTCGGAAACCTCAGCTTTTCCTAAGATCCCAGCTAGAATTTGCAATAGAAGGGTTGTGTGCATAAGAAGCCACAATGAGACTGGAGCGAGAAGGTTTGAAGCTCAAAACTTCACTTTGACTCAAAGAAAAAGCTTTGACTGCTACAAAAAGATGACCCAACTGATGAGTGCAAGTGAACGTTGAGGTCCACGTACAGGAACAGAGAATTTCTTCAGACTCCAAAATGAATCAAGTATCTTTCCTCCCCATGCAATGGAAGCAATAAACAGTCCTTGGGGAAGATAGTACACAGCTTTAATGTACTCTGAAGACCAAGGATGGAAGACTTTTAATAAAGAGCAACTAGGGGAGAACAAAGGTTTTATCTGACCACACTAAAAGACAAAGCTACGTAAAAATTGAGTCAACAAAATATCACTGGCAAAGATAAACAGAATAGCCCATAGAAAATTAATTTGTTTCATGGGGAAATCATAGAATCCCATAATGGTTTGGGTTGGAAAGGACCTTAAAGATCATCCAGTCCCAACCCCTGCCACGGGCAGGGACACCTTCCACTAGAGCAGGTTGCTCCAAGCCCCTGTGTCCAACCTGGCCTTGAACACTACCAGGGATGGGGCAGCCACAGCTTCTCTGGGCACCCTGTGCCAGCGCCTCAGCACCCTCACAGGGAAGAGCTTCTGCCTTAGATCTAACCTGAACTTCCCCTGTTTCAGTTTGAACCCATCACCCCTCGTCCTGTCGCTCCAGTCCCTGATGAAGGTCCCTCTGCAGCATCCTTGTAGCCCCCTTCACACACTGGAAGCTGCTCTGAGGTCTCCAGCAGCTTCTCTTCTCCAGGCTGAACAGCGCCAGTGTTCTCAGCCTCTCTTTGTATGTCTTGCAAATTAATCTTGCAAAATTAATGTAGACTTGGGGATTAGGGAAACTATTCAGTACGAGAGTACAGCAAAACAACCTGCTTTGGGGGCGTCAATGTGAACGAAGAGAAACACAACAAATGGAATCAAGGGCCAACTGTGAAGCATGAATATTTCAGTGACTGAATTACTTCTTCTGCCTCAAAAGCTGATTCTTTTCCCCAGAAGTGCACACCAGAAACAATCATATCAGTCCCTCAAATAGACCTGGCTCAGGACATCACCTGAGAAAGCCGTGTTACACAGATAAAAGTGCCAATATCCTCTTGCTTTTGGAATCCCCTTTTCTGAGTATGAACAATTAGGGTATTCTAGTAACTTGAGACTGAGTTAGTCTGCATTACACATATAGTTGATTAATTGTTGATTAATTAATTAACAACCTAAGAAATAAAGACTCAAGGCATTGATCAGGCCCCATTTGCTCTAATAATCTCTGAACTCTGCAATCGGATCATTGAATTTGAA